AGCCTGGGTGGCTTTTTTCTTTTTTTCTCTCTCACTGTCATTCATTTTGGAAGAAAAGCAGAATTTTAAGCAGAGCACGAGCACTTGGAACGGGTAGAGAAATGCAGGCTGAGATCACTGCTGCCCTCTTTTTTTCTCCCTATTTAATTAGAGATGTTTAAGCCATCAAAATGGAAACATGGCAGGTATTTGAAAGGGGCAGCCTAGGGAAGGTGGGTGAATATCTACGGGGACAAACATGTGCAGAGTACCCGCTTACATGCAGCAGGGGTCAGCATCAAGGGGCAGCGTCCTCTCCAGTCACCTGGGGGAAAATCCAAATCTGCCTCCTCTGTCATTCCACCTGGGAAGTCCCCTCTTTCAAGGGAGACTTCTGCCCAAATGGGTGAGCAGTCTGAGCTCTCACCTAGAGCCCACCCTGAGCCCGTGGATAAAGGTGCATCCTTTCAAAGCAATCTGGTCCTTCCTTACTGATTCAAATGCAATTCAAATCCCCCCAATTTTTCCTTCTGGATTCGAATCTTTTTCACAGATAGCTGCCTCCTTCCAGCTGAATGTGTAATTTGCAGCCCGGCTGTCTAAGCCGTGCCCAGAGCCACAAATGGCAGCTCTGCTCCATCCTGGGCAGCACGAAGGCAAGCAGTCACACATCAGAGGAAGCCGTGTGTCTGTAAGCAGCATCTGGCCAAGACTCAAATCATCTTGCTCAAATAAACAACAAATTCTTCCCTGACAGAAGCAGCAAAACTAAATAAGCCAGTGTACTTACATGTTACCTTGTTCTAAGGAACAAAAACATGGTGGGAAATTGCAACACAGTAATAAAGTGTGTTGTAACTTGTATTTAGACATGCACATAAACTTCACTTTTATGAGAACATCTCTATAACCATTCTGAATTATCTTCTTCCCACATCAGAATGCAAAGAACCTTGGGCACTGGTAAGAATGTCTCCAGATGTGTAAGGAACTCCAAATTATTGAGGCAACATCGTGCTGCATGTTCCTGACTTTCTCCAAGGTCATATGCCCACAGAGTCACAGTTTATAAATATCCCCAGCCCATGGGTAATTGTCTTTTCAAAATTTATTATTGTCTTCTCTCATATTTTTATCTAAAAGGAAATATTGTATTACCTGAAGACCTTAACAGGGCTTGCCACTCCCTTTATCTCCTCACTAGCTAAATGGTTTATCCTTGCGCAGCTGAGCAGAGCAAGAACCACCTGATGCAGCATGTCATTCAAACATGTACCTCTGCAAACTTAAAATAATGACATGGAATGTCAAGGTTGATTTGTAAAGATCAACACCAATGTACTACATCCTTTGAAAAGTCAAGAGTATGTGCTAATCTAGATATATAATTCATATATCTGGAGAAGTGTCATATGCATGTGGATGTATAAGTCATTACAAGCCAGCCTAGCAAACTGGCTCAGTGTATGGGGTTCTTTGGAACCATTCAGACATATCTGAATCTTATTCTGCACTTACCTCTTTCACCTTGGGCAAATTACTTAATTATTGTTAGCCTCATTTTCTTAAAGTTTATTTTACTCATGATAGAGACCATGCATGCACACACACGAGGGAAGGAGAGAGAGAGAGAGGCACCTCAACAAGATCTGTCATGCTGAGATCTTCTTCCCCCAGCCCTCATTGAGATCTTGGTGTGCTAACCAGACCAGGGATCTGAAGCCATAGTCAGCTGTGTGGCTTCCAGCTCTGTGTAGTTTAGTATGCTACTGACTACACCACAGAGATTGGCTCTAGCATCATTTCTGAATTTATGAAATGGGTGTAACAATACTCACCCAGTTGTTGTGATTATGTGTTTAAAGTGTCTTAGGTCAGCAGATGGCGTGGAAGTCAAGATGGCTAGATCCCACATGGCCAACTGCATGATTTAAGTCCTGGACCCTACATCTTGAAAACCACACCAGGCCTATGTGCATGTGTGCCCAAAATTCTGAGAGGAGAATGGAGAAGAGATCACAGTGTGCCCATCTCCCCTTGGTAGGTGATTTCTCACTTTTCTTCCAACTCTCTCTCCATCCCCGGTGATACACATTCCCTATAGCAAATGATCTTTTTAATTGTTTCTCTCAATGTCTGAAATAAGTCAACTAATAT